TATTTATGCTTCCCCCTTTTAGACCAGATAGGGTAACTTCCTGATGTTGCCATGATATTTGCAAACTGTCATGGCGCTGGCTGGTGCATAGCAATAAGGGCAACCAGAGGTCACTCTCATCACCTTCTTGGTTTTGGTAGGATTTAGCCTGGTTCTTTACTGCAACCTGTTTCATCAGTAAGGTCTTTATGACCTGTATCTTGTGCCGGTCTCCTATCTCATCCTGTGACTTAGAATGCTTTAACTGTCTGGAAATGCAGCCCAGTAAAATGAGGTCTCAGCCTCATTTTACCTAGCTCCTATTTAAGTTGGAGTTGCTCTGGTTCACATGCCTCTGACACCTCCAGGTTTGTTCTTTTGGCTTGTACAGTCGAATGCTGGTTTCCAGTGACTGAAGGTGGAAGAGTTTTTCAAAGCTAGGGGGAAAACACTGGAGGACTTTAGAAGGGAGGTTGGTCAACATTATTTTGAGTAGATTTTTAAGTGTGGTGTAAAATAAGGGCAAACTTTTATTCTTTTGCATGTGAGTATTCAGTTTTCCCAAAACCATTAGTTGAAGAAACTCTTTTCCCTATTATGTGTTCTTGGCAGTTTTGTTGAAGATCAATTGACTATACATGTGTGGGTTTATTTCCAGGGTCTCTATTCTGTTTCATTGGTCTATATGTCTGGCTTTACGCTAATATCAGATGTTTTAATTACTGTAGCTTTGTATTAAATCCAGAAGTCAAGAAGTGTTATGCCTTCAGGTTCCTTCCTTCTCAAAATTACTTTAGCTATTCACGATCTTGGAGAGGCGGAAATGGGAATTTGTTGCTGCATGTAAATTTCAGTTATTTAAGATGAATAAGTTCTAGAGATTTACTGTGAAATATAGCGCAGGTGTTGTCATGCTGCTAATAAAGATATACTCGAGATTGGGTAATTCACAAAGGAAAGAGGTTTAATGGACTCACATGGCTGGGGAGGCCTCACAATCATGGCAGAAAGCAAATGAAAAGCAAAGTCACAACTTACATGGTGACAGGCAAGAGAGCTTATGCAGGGAAACTCCCATTTATAAAACCATCATATTACATGAGGCTTATTCACTACCAGGAGGACAGTACGGGGGAAACTTCCCACATGGCTCAACTATTTCTAACTGGTCCCATCATTGACACATGGGGCTAATGCAATTTAAGGTGAGATTTGGATGGGGACACAGCCAAACCATATCAAGTGCCAAGAGTTAATAATATGTTATTGTGGCACTGTTTACAATAACAAAGATTTGAAACCAACCCAAATGCCCATCAATGATAGACTGGATAAAGAAAATGTGGCACATATACACCACAGAACACTGCACAGCCATAAAAAAGAATGAGTTCATCCCTTTGCAGGGACATGGATGAAGGTGGAAACCATCATTCTCAGCAAACTGACACAAAAACAGAAAACCAAACACCACATATTCTCACTCATAAGTGAGTGTTGAACAACTAGAACACATGGACACAGGGAGGAGAACATCACACACTGGGGCCTGTCACTGGGTGGGGAGGGGGTTAGGAAAAGGATAGCAGGAGGTAGGGGGATTGGGGAGGGATAACATTAGGAGAAATACCTATCATGCAGATGACAGGGTGATGGATGTAGCAAACTACCATAGCACATATGTACCTATGTAACAAACCTGCATGATCTGCGCATGTACCCCAGAACTTAAAGTATAATAATAAATAATAAATAATTCACTAAAAAAATAATAATAATATGGTATGGTACATTTAAAATTTTGCTAAGAGGTAGATCTATTGTTTTTACCTTTAAAAAAAAAAGACACACATACAAAGGAACACAAGGAGGTGATAAATATGTTTATTACTTTTTGGTTATGGTGTGTGCATATGTGCAAACTCATTACATTGCATACATTAAACATGTACAGATTATTTTAGTATATCTATTATACCTCAATAAAGTTGTTCACACACACACACACACACACACACACACACACACATACACACACACAACCTCTCCTGCCTTCTGTTTCCCTATTGCGTTCAGCTCCCCTATTGAAATAATATTGCCTATTTAGCTCCACCCAGAGCAAGTTCTTCTTTGACACTGAGAAGAAAGTAAATTAATGAGGAATTTCCAGTAGTCATAACACTTGAATAAAAATGCGTAACAGTGAGTTGGAAGTGGTTTGTGTGCTGTCCTGTAGTGTGCGACCTCCCCAAAAATTGCAATAATTGCTGCTACCTACAACTGCCCTTTTAAATGATTCTTTGGAAGACAGAACAAGTGGGACAGTGTTCAGCAGGGATGGTCTTTATAGAAGGAGAAGAAGTGAGAAGAAGTGTGAACATATTTCCTGACTCTGGAGAATATGTACCTTAATCTGATTATTCACAGAATTCTAGGTAAGGACAGCCTAAATGTATGAAATTGGAGGTGAGTTTTCTAGAAAAGGTGGAGTAAGAAAGACAGGAGGAGGTAAATCAAGAAAGTTAGAGGATTTAAAGACACTCTGTAAACAAACATGAGACTAAACATTACATGCACAGAAATTCTGCCTCTGATCAGCTATCAGGCTTAGTCGTGTTATTGTTAGGGAGGATTATTTGCATCTAATAAACTCTACAAAATACTTATCGTGAGCTATATGTTAATAAGAAAGATTTCTTTTTACACTTACCTGGTATTACAACTGTTTCTATTTTAGCCTCCTGTGTTAGTGTTCCAAAGTCTGCATTGGTAGATGGGGCATTTTTATGTTACTTACTTTGGGATAGAGAAATTAATTGCTGGGTTAGGATTTGAGCTAAAAGTGGGTTACCCTCTTGAGCTAAAACCAGGACACCACAGTTCTTCCGGAGAAGCATTATTAAACATTTACAATTTCTATTGCAGCTCAAGCAGCTCATGCTTATGGGCTTTCATTGTCTATTTTACAACTTTTGTAAAATTACTAGTAATAACTCTGTGGGAAATTTAAGAAGCAAATCCAAAAACTAGGCTGACATAAAAACTTTATTGTGAAAAAGGGACTACTCCACAACAAGGAAAGAATACGGTGAGAAGACTGATTTATTATTTCTCTAATATTTCAACAGAATATATGGCTTTCAATTCCAAATTTGCACCGAGTGATTATATGCCAGTTTGGAAAATAAAATAATTGATCTGGATGATATATGAGCTCCCTTCTAAGTCTACATTTCTTTCCTCAATATCTGTTTGGGTGATCTGTTTTCTTCTCTTTCATTCTTTCCTTACTTCCTTTATCCTTTCTTTCATTCTCCTTTCTTTCCTTGTTCCTTCCTCCTTTTTTATATTATTTATTTATTTTCTTTTACTTAAGTATTTTATTTTGGATACAAAGCAGTGCAAGAGGCCGCCCACACTTTCCTGCTACTGTGGGCCTTAAGGTTAGAACTACGAAAGGCAACATGCAGGTATCAATCGGGGGGGTTAACACTCAAGTTGTGTAAACGTGGTTAGTCCTTGGATTCTCAGTTTCCAAAAATGCTGGTTAGTTCTGACGGCTTCCTTCCTCTCTTCCTCCATTCCTCTCTCCTTTCCTTCCTTTCTTATCTCCCTCATTCCCTTCCTGCCTTTCTTCCTCCCTTCCCTCTCTTCCCCCCTTCTTCTCCTTTTTCCTTCTTCACTCTACCTTTGTTTTTTTTGGATTTCAGTGGTAAGTATAATATAGAGTACCCAAACAATTCACTGGTGATAAATCATAACACTTTGAGAAAATACAAGAAAAATATTATAACCTTCATGTTAGTCATGCAAAACAGTTAAAATATTCTAGGAAGGAAGCATTATCTTGATCTCTTTATAGCAGTTGAGTGCTAGTGACAAATAGAATTCCAGCTGGCACAGACAACAGATTATTTTGAATATATGGTTTTAATTTATTAAATTAAATTACTATAGGGTAGTAATTACTATAATTAATGTTTTTCAAACAAAATTGTGAGTTTTTTCTAAGGAATGAAGCAGAAATGTTTATCTTATAATAATGTCATGGTATTGTATTAATATAAAGTAGAACAAGAAAATTGGAGACGCATAGAATAGCCAAACCAAAAGTCTGAACAACAAAAGTTGCTTTTTAAATGTCATTACCTCACTACCATAAAATGTTCTAAATTAAAATGTAGAAACTTTATTTGAGAATTTAAATTGATATGCAATTTTCTGAGGCCTAAATTCAATTTCCAAAAATTAGAACTACGTGATAGAAAAAACGTACCAGTTCCATTATAAAAACGCAATTGCAGCCGTGAGCCACCGCCTGTAATCCCAGCACTTTGGGAGGCTGAGGCGGGTGGATCATGAGGTCAAGAAATCGAGACCATCCTGGTCAACATGGTGAAACCCCGTCTCTACTAAAAATACAAAAAATCAGCTGGGCCTGGTGGCACGTGCCTGTAATCCCAGCTACTCAGGAGGTTGAGGCAGGAGAATTGCCTGAACCCAGGAGGCAGAGGTTGTGGTGAGCCGAGACCGCGCCATTGCACTCCAGCCTGGGTAACAAGAAGAAACTCCGTCTCAAAAAAAAAAAAAAAAAAAAAAAAAAAATGCAATAGCACAGACCAAGGCAATTAAAATAGCATCATTGTACAATAAAAATATGAATATGACAGTATAATACCAAATGCTAAAGAATAATGGGCATTTCTTTCTAAGTGGAATTTATCTTTACTAAAATACTAATGTAAATGAAAGGACTGTAGTGCAGTGGTTAAGAAGTTTGTTTCTCAAGTAAGAATATTTTAACTTAAATGCAAGTTTATCTCTGTGGTCTTTTGCAAATTACTTAACCTCTCTAAATTAGTGGTCTTCAAACATGAATTCCTGAATGTACAAAAAGCATTTCCAAGGACATGACATGGGTGATTTCAGAAAGTCAGTTTCCAGAACCTCAAATATGTGCTATTTTCCAAAATCAACCTACCTAGGAATGTGCTCCCAGTCAAGGTGTCACACAGTATTTCCTTTCCCAAATTCTGTATCATAATTACCTTTCTTCTCTTTGAAAAATTAAGGGAAAATTCATATCTAATACAAATGTTTCCATGGCAAGTTTTCCTAGGGTTTTAAAATTTCTGGAGTGCCAAAGAAGTGGCCAATTTAAATTATTTGTGTTGGTAAAGCCCCTCTAATTAGGGTTCGATAAATCATTTCTAGGTTTCGTTTTTGCATTTCTTTACATTTTTACATTTTTACTAAGTGCAAATATACCACTAGAAATGAAATATTTGGGGGTTTGTTGGAAATTTTGAAATTAGATATAGAATAGAAAAGTGGGGATAAAAATAAAAATAATTATTATTTCACAATCTTGCCTCTTCCATGCTCTGATTATTGCCAGAGTATATTGTTTCTGATGGAGAGTCCTATCAGAACCAAGCAAAGAGAGCACCAGTAAGAAATAATGAAGCAGCATCTTTCTCTCCCTTTCTCTCTAAACACACACACACACACACACACACACACACACACACACACACACACACATACACAGTCATGCTTAATTATGGAGATACTTTGTGAGAATACAGCATTAGGCAATTTGGTTGTTGTGTAAACATCACAGAGTACACTTACACAGATCTAGATGTTATAGCCTACCACATATCTAGGCTATATGCTGTAACATAATGATACTAGGCTGAAAACCTGTGCAGCATGTTACTGTACTGAATACTGCAGACAATTGTAACAATGGTATTTGTGTATCTAAGCATAGAAATATCTGAATACTGCAGACAATTGCAGACAATGGTATTTGTGTATCTACGCATAGAAAACATACAGTAAATATAGGGAATAAAAGATTAAAATTGGTATGCCTGTATAGGGCACTTACCCTTAATGGAGTCTGAGGATTCTAAAGTCAGTGAGTAAGTGGTGAGTAAATATGAAGAGCCAGGACATTATTGTACACTACTGTTGATTTTATAAACACTGTACACTTAGGCTACACTAAATTTATTTTTAAAGTGTTACTTTCTTCAACAATAAATTAACCTTAGCTTAGTGCAACTTTTTATTTTATAAACTTATTAATTTTGTTAACCTTTTGACCATTCTATAATAGCCCTTAACTTAGAACATAAGAACATCATACAGCTATATAAAAACATTTTTTCTATATATCCTTATTCTGTAAGCTTTTCTGTATATTTATGTTGTTTTGCTTTTTGTTTCACTTTTTTAACTTTTTTGTTAAAAACTAAGATACAAAAACACACGTTAGCATAGATTTAATAGGGTCAGGATCATCAATATCACTGTCTCCCATCTTCATATCTTGTCCTACTAGGAAGTTTTTAATAAAACACGTGGAGCTGTCATCTCCTATGATATCAATGCCTTCTTCTGGAATATCTCCTTAAGGACCTGCCTGAGGATGTTTTATTGTCAACATTTTTTATAAGTGGAAAGAGTAAACATTAAAATAATATAAATATATAGTGTAGTAAATACATCAACCAGTAACATAGTCATTTATTTTCATTTTCAAGCATTATGTATTGCACATAATTGTATGTGCAATACATTTTTATGACTGGCAGCACAGTAGCTCAGTTTACACACCAGTATCATGAGAAATATATGAATAATGCCTTTAATTATGACATTATGACAGCTATGACATCACTAGAGGAAAGATATTTCAGGGCTATTATGATTTTCTGAGACCATCATTGTCTATGAAGTTCACCATTGACCAAAACACTGGTATACCATTCATGAATAGTGTGTATGTATGTGTGTGTCTGTGTGTGTGTGAGCGAGAGATCTTTCCTCCAAGTTAGTATTCTGATATATGAAAGTTGTCATTGGGAAGCGTATCAACATATGTTTTGGAATTTAAAACTGTTTTATTAAAAAATACATTAGTAGCAGATATGTATAAAGTTTTTCTTATTTTTTAGTATTTCTGAGAAAATAATTTTAAACAAATTGCCTTTCTATAAAAGTGTAACAGGTAAACTATTAGTCACTTGATAAACTTTGGTTGCAAAGTTTTGGTATTCTTTCCAAAATTGGAAAAGGAAATACATTGGGAAATAAATACTTTGTAAATCAAATCGATTTCAATATTGACACAAAATTAGAGGAGTACCTAAACATGTTATTAATGCAACAGACTATTTTTAAGTTTCTATATGAATGTCTATTGCATTTTATGTCCAAAGTCAACTCAGTGATACTACTCTTACTAACTTTATTTCATTGTTATCTAAGTATTTATGAAATTAAGATTTTCATTCTATATTTCTATTAAAAAATAAACAAATGTAAAATCGATATTGGACTTTTGAATTCTAGTGAAGTATATTATTCATCCACAAATAGACTCATTACTTAGCAAATATTTATCTTAACATACATATTTCAAAGATAAGTTTTTTGAATAATTATTAGCATGCAAATATTGGTATTTTTAAATATTTTGTAAAGATAATATGATAATTCTAGACAAATGTTTATATATGTAGAGTCTTATGGTTAATTAAAATTTTTAAAACCATAATTCCAATTTATATTAATATTTTTTGTAACAGAGAAGTATGATGGTGGGATTAATAAAATATAATCGAGCAAAAGAAATCATTGGTATAAAATTTTGTGGGTAAAACTAAGTATAAAGACAGTATCAGAGAGAAAAGAACAGTAAAAATTACTCACAGTTAGAGGACAACATTTTTTGTAATGAATAATGAAAGATATTCAATTGTCATTATATTAAATTATATTATATACATTATTAAAATAATGTAATATTCCTTTGAAAGAAGGCAAGTATTTGCAATATGCTAGAAAACTATGCAGCCATCTAATAAAGTAATTTTGAGTACTGAATTAAACAAAATTAAACTTGAGTAAGTGCTTTTTCAAATTATTTTAAAGAGACTGTAAACTAAAATAATCCACTGCCCTAGTTTACTTGTTTCCTCTTATGTGCAACGGGAATAATAAAATTGTACTTTCTTTATGAGATTATCATGAGGAATATTGTGTATTGCCTGTAAATGTACAGCACAGTGTCTTTCACAAAGAGAGCAATCAATAATTATTAGTTTTCCAAGGGGATGAGAAGTATTATCTTTGGATATTACAGCCCTTACACATCTCTTATGTTTTCCCTATTTTAGTCATTTCCTTAGGAAAAAGAATGAAAAGAAATGTAGTATTTAAATCTAAATATAAAATTAAAAGACAACAAAATAAGGAACAAGGAAATGACGAATGGGAGAGCAGATCTTCTCATTGCTTTTAGGATAGGTATTTATTGCCAAAAAAGAATCTTCATACATGTGACCAATGTGAGGTTGCAAAAAAGTGACATTTAAAATTATTCATCTCTATTACCCTGAGCTATTATTTAAATTGTATTAGATGTGATCAACAACTATTTATTTGATATATGCATATGAATGATGGCACATAGGGTGGCAAGAGCTGAACTGTTCAAGTTACACAGATCGATGTCCATAATCTGACAGATTCTTCATTTTACACCATTCGTTGCAGACTGATGCCAATAATGCTGTAGAGGTAATAATGATCTGAATCTAATTTTGTAACTCTTCATTTTGATATAGCCAAAATTTGCCTTATTGGTAAGGGAGGGAGTAAAGTTTGTATGTAAGCTAAAATTGATAAGAATGATAAACATTCTCACTTCTGTATCAGTCATAAAGCAGATGCCTATAAAGAAATGTACCTTTTTCACCCAATTGTTTGAAAATAATTTTTGAGAAGGTGAAATTTGAAGCTTTCCATTTTTACTGGCATGTTTTCAAAATTTAATCCAATGGATATTTCCAAATAAATGATTCCCGTGATTTGAGATTTTGAGTACAAAGGATGGTTAATTCAATAAAATAAGTGAACAGAAGTCAACACTATGAAAAAAAAAAAAAACTATCCATTAGCTTTCTTCCAACAAAATCAAACATTTTATTGAATTAAGCATAATGTCATGGTACTTACTCCTCATTTACCTATATCAACATTTTTGTCCATCATAAAAAGAAAAAAAAAAGAATCTACATTGTGGTATCATGATATTGTGGCAACTTGGTCAGGTAGAGCAACTTTTTCCATAATTTCCCTCCATATGTATTTACAGTTGGGGTAGGACACAAAAAGAAATTTTGAACTCCTTGCCCTGTTAACTCCAAGTCCTCCAGGTTCAAATGCAAAGGCAATAGCTATACAAGTATTGTTTAATCAGCTTCCATAATTGGGTAAGGTAAAATCCCTATAACAATCCATTTTATATGTACCTAATACACAGAAGGAAAGTATCTTTTACTCTAGGCATTACAGCTCTTTATTAGCTCCTGTGTTACATGAGTTTTGTACTTGCTGTGGTTTGTTAGCATCCTCTATCTGTATTACAGGTGATAAAGAGTCATCAAATTATATCCACCAGAATAACTTCATAGTCTTATTTACTCCATATTCAAATGCAGTGAGTAAAACCAATTTAATAATACTAGTTAATTATTCTTACTGGGATACATTTATTTTATACTTGAAATGTATAATTTTCATTTAAGTCTTTAATCTATTTTGAGTTCATTTTAAGTATGATATAAAATAAGGTTCCAATTTTATTCTTTTGCATGTGTATCACCAAATGGTCAAACACTATTTGTTAAAGAGACTATCGGATATGATTTGAATGCATGTGTCCCTCCAAACTTCGTATGTTTGAACTTAAACCCAAGATGATGGTATTAACAGGCGAGGCATTTGGGGAAAAGATGAAGTACTGAGAGTTTCACCCTCATTAATGGATTAGGGCTGTTATAAAAGAGGTTGAAGGGAGGACCCTAGTGCTTGCTTTTTTTGTTCCCCTTCTTCTGTTGTCATCTGAAGATGCCACAAGAAAGCAGCATCTGTAAAACCGGCCTTTTTGTCGGCAAGATATGGTGCCGACAGAGTATGATGGCACCTTATCTTGGATTTCCTAGACTCAAAAACTATGAGAAATAAATTTATATTGTTTAGAAATGATTCAATCTAAGGTATTTTGTCATGGCAGTCTGAATGAACTAAGACACTATCCTTTCTTATTCTCAGCACGCTAATGGAGCTCACTTGACCATGTATGCCTGGATTTATATCTGGCCTTTCTATTCTGTTCAGCTGTCTACATGTCTGTCCTTATGGCGATCTCATAATGTTTTATTTATCGTGGCTTTGTGGTATATTTTGAAACCAGGAAGTGTGATCCCCCCACCTTTGTTCTTCTTTTTCGAGACTTAAAAAGAAATGTTATGTGTATGTTTGAGACATACAACCCGGTGATAAAATATATATATAAATAGTAACAAGTTACTATAGTTAAGTAAATTAACAAGTCCATTCATCATCTCACAGTTACCATGTTTTTTGTTTTGTGGCAAGATAAGCTTAAATCTAATTATTTAGCATTAACTAGATATACAGTAAAATTTAATCCACTGTTGTCCTCATGTTGTATATTAGATCTCTAAACTTGTTCAACCTACATATGTGCTGCTTTGTATCCTCTGACCCACATCTACCCATTTTCTCCCCCTTCCCTCTAATAATTACTGTCTTATTCTCTCCCTTCCTCCATCTCTCTCTTTCTATTTGAAATTTTTTTAGACTCCATATATAAATGAGATCAGGCAATATTGTTCTTTTCATGTCTGGTTTATTTCACTTAGCATAACTTTCCAGGCTCACCTGTTTTGTGGCAAATAGCAATATCTCATTCTTTATATAGGGCTGAATGGTGTTCCATTGTATCTATATACCAGTTATGTTACCGATTCATCCATCATTGGATACTTAGGTTGTTTTCTCTTGGCTGTTGTGAAAAATAATGCAATAAACATGGGAATGTAGATGTCTCTATAAGGTGGTGATTTTTCCTTTTGGGCATATACCCAGAGGAGAGACTGCTGGGTCAAATAGTAGTTTTATTTTTAATTTCTTTAGAAATCCTCATACTGCTTTCCATAATAACTGTACCAATCTATATGCCACCAAAAGCATACAATTTTTTTATCTTCATATCCTTACAAATATTTGTTATCTTTTGACTTCTTGATAATAGCCATCCTAACAGATGTGAGGTGATATCTTATAGTGATTTTGATTTGCATTTCCCTGATGTCTAAGGATACTGAGCGCCATTTTATAAACCTGTTGGCCATTTTTATGTATTATTTGGAGAAATGTCTATTCAGGTATTTTTCTTAATTTTTAATTGGTTATTTGCTTTTTCGCCATTGAGTTGTATGAGTTATTTATAAATTTTGAACATTGCCCATTGAAAGATATACAATTTGTGAATTATTTTGTTGATTGCTTCCTTTACTGTGAAGACATGTTTTAACTGATATGATCCTGTTAATTTATTTTTGCTTTTGTGACCCAAGCTTTTGGAGTGATATTTAAAAAATAAATCAATGCCAAGACTAATATCTGGAAGCTTTTCTTTTCTAGAAGTTTTGTGGCTTATGGTCTCGTATTTAGTTTTTTTGGATCCATTTTGAGTTGACTTTTGTGTATGAAATAAGACAAGATTTCCATTTCATTCTCTCTCTTTCTCTCTATGTTGAAATCAAGTTTTCTTGGGATCACTTAATGAAGATTATCCTTTCCCCATTATGTCCTCTTGTTGCTCTTGTCAAAAAATGTGCTAACTAAATATGTTTCAATTTATTTCTGAGCACTCTATTTTGCTCCGCTGGTCTATATGTCTGATTTTTTGCCAGTACTGTACTGTTTCCATTATCTTAGCATTGTAATATAATTACAAATCAAACGGTATGATGATGCTTCCAATGTTTTTTTCTATTTTCAGAAGTGTATTGGCTACTTAAGAGTTTGTATTATTCCATATAAATTTTTATTTTTAATTTTTTATTACAAATTTAGGAGTGCTAAGTGCAGTTGTGTTACACGAATAAATTGGGTAGTGGTAAAGTCTGAGCTTTTATTGTACTCATCAACTTTAAATATTTTTTTTCTATTTCTATGAAAACTGCCATTGGGATTTTGATTGGCATTGCATTGAATCTATATATTGCTGTGGGAGACAGGAACATTTTAACAATATGAATTCTATTCTATGAACGTGGAATATCTCTTTCTTTATATGTGTCTTCTTGAATTTCTATCAATATTTTATAGTTTTCAATGTACAAATTTTTATCTTCTTGGTTAAGTTTATTTTCAGGTTTTTACTTTTACTATTGCATCATAAATGAAATTGGGTTCTTGATTTCATTTTTATTTAGACCATTTTTACATAAAAATCTTAAGAATTTTTGCATGCTGATTTTGTAAACTGTGAATTTACTGAATTTATATATTAGGTCTAAGAGTTTTTTTGTGGAATCCTTGTTTTTTTTTTTTACACATAAGAGCACATCATCTGAAATAGAGATAGTCTTTCTTCTTAATTGTTTTATCTCTTCTGGAATTTTTGTGTTTCCGTATAAATTTTAGATTTTGTTTCATTCTTATTAAAAATGCCATTGAGATTTTGATAGGAATTGCATTGGGTCCCTAAACTCCAAAATCTGAGACCGGTCTCAGTCAATTTAGGAAGTATATTTTTCGAAGTTGTATGGATGCACACCATGACACAGTCTCAGGAGGTCCTGATGACATGTACCCAAAGTGGACAGAACACAGCTTGTTTTTATCGATTTTTAGGGAGACATGAGATGTCAATCGACATATGTAAGATGAACATTGATTCTATCCAGAAAAGGTGGGACAAGTCAAAGCAAATGCAGGACAACTTGTAGGACCAGGGAGAGAGCTTTCAGTTACAAATGGTTTTATTCTTTGGAGTTTCTGATTAGCCTGTCGAAAGGAGGCAGTCAGATATGTATTTATCTCAGTGAGCAGAGAGATGACTTTGAAGCAGGTTTGCCCTAAGCAGTTCGCAGCTTCACTTTTGCATTTAGCTTAGTGACTTCAGGGCTTCAAGATTTATTTTCCTTTCACAAGCCCTTTACAATTCTTTGGGTAGTGTGGATATTTTAACAATATTGGATTCTTCATCATTACAAGATATCTTTCCATGTCTTTGAATCTTTAATTTTTTAATCAATATTTTGTACTGTTTACAAGCTTTTCGCTTCCTTACTTACATTTGAATGTTTTATTCTTTTTGATGCTATTATAAATGGGTTTGTTTTACAATTTTGTTTTTCAGATAGTTTTTTAAATTAATATAAAAAATGCAACTGATATTTTTTTATTTCTTATTCTACAACTTTACTTAATGTGTTTATTAGTTCCAATCATTTTTAATAGCATCTTCATGATTTTCTGTATATAAGATTATAATCTGCAGAGGGACAGTTTAAATTTTTATCTTCTAATTTAAATGCTTTCATTGTTTTTCTTGCCCAATTTCTCTGGTTTGAACTTACAGTAGTATACTGAATAGAAGCAGTCACAGTTGACATTCTTGTTATAATCATAGTGCAAAAATATTCAGGTTTTTTTTTTTTCCACTGAGGGCAATGGTAGTTGTAAGCTTTTCATAAATTGCCTTTATTATGTTGAGACAATTTCCCTCTTAGTTTGTTGAGAATTTTTATTATGAAAGAATATTTTGTAGAACTTCTAGAAGAAAACAAAACACGGGGAAAGCTTCTCAACGCTGGTCTTGGCAATGATTTTATGGCTATGAAACCAAACATACAAGCAACAAAAGTAAAAATTAGATAAATCAGTGTATATCAAAGTAAAAAATTTCTGCATAGCAAAGAAAACAATCAACAGAGTGAAAAGGCAACACACTGACTAGGAGAAATATATATGCAAACTACATGTGTCATAAGCAGTTAATATTCACAATATAAAGAAGAACACTTATACCTCAATAGCAATTAAGAAATGACAATTTGAAATGGACTAAGGACTTGAAGAGGCATTCTCTAAAGAAGACATACAAATGGCCAAAAATATATTAAAATGTGCTGAACATCTCTAGCTGTATTAGTCCATTCTCACATTGCTATAAGGAACTGCCGGAGACTGCTATAAGAAAACCTCTTTTCTTCATATTATAAATTATCATAATTGACTCACAGTTCCACAAGCTGTTACAGGAATCATGGCTGGAGAGGCCTCAGAAAACTTACAATCATGATGGAAGGTGAAAGGGAAGTAGATACATCTTCATATTGCAGAACAAGAGAAAGAGAGAGTGAAAAGAAAAGAGCTACAAACTTTTAAACAACTGGGTATCATGAGAACTCACTCCCTATCATGAGAACAGCAAGGGGGAAATCTGGCTCCATGATCCAATCACCAGGTCCCTCCCATAACACTGGTGATTACAGTTTGACATGAGATTTGAGTGGGAACACAGAACCAAAGCATATTATTCCACCCCTGTTCCCTCCCAAATATTATGTCTTTCTCACATTTAAAAACTCAATTATGTCTTCCCAACAGTTCCTCAATTTTTAATTCTGTGAATAAAAAATGACATAGATAATTTAATAGCTATTGCATTGAATCTATAGAATAATTTAGGCAATATAGACTTTTAACAATATTGAATTTTCCTGTCCACGAGATGTTTTTGCATTTGTTTGTGGTAGTCTACCATTTCTTTTATCATTATTTTGTAATTCTCCTTCTGAGACTTTTCACATCCCTGGTTAAATGCATTCCTAGGTACTTCATTTTATTTCATCGCTATTGTAAATGGGATTGGCGTCTTCATTAGGTCTTCAGCTAAACTGTTATTGATGGAACACTACTGATTTCTGTATGTTAATTTTATACCCTGAAACTTTACTGATTTTGTCAAATCAAAGACTATTTTTTGAAAAGACTTTAGGGTTTTCTAGATATAAGGTCACATTAGCAGCACACAAGAATAATTTGACTTTATCTTTTTTAATTTAAGTGTCTTTTGAGTTTTTTTCTTACCTGATTTGTTCTAATTAGCACTTTCAGGACTATGTTGAGTAGAAATGGAAAAAGTGGGCATCCTTTTCTTGTTCCAGGTTTTACAGAAAATTTTTTCAACTTTTTCCCATTAAATATTATGTTGGCCATTGGTTTGATATACATGGCCCTTATTATGTTGACATACATTTTTTCTATGTCTAGTTTGTTGAAGATTTTTGTCATGAAGCGATGCTGAATTGTATTAAATACTTTTTCTGCATCTATTGAGACAGTCATGTGGTTTTTATACCTAATTCTATATATATGATATGTCAAATCAATTAGTGTGTGTTGAAACATCCTTGCATTCCTGAGATAAATCACATCTGATGATGTTGTATTATGTATTTAATGTGCTGTTGGATTCAATTTGCTAGTATTTTACAGAAGATATTTGCATCTATGTTCATCAGGGATTTTGGTCTGTAGTTTTTGGGTTTTTTTTAATTGTGTCTTTGCCTGATTCTGATATCAGAATAATGCTGGCCTTGTTGAATGCGTTATGGAGAATTTTAAGAGTCCTCTTTAATTTTTGAAGTAGTCACAAAAAGATTGATATTCATTTTGCTTTGTATGCTTAATAGAATTTCCCTGTGACTTCATCTGGTCCTGACCTTTTATTTCTTGGGAGATTTATTAGAATTGCTTCCATCTTGCTACTTATGATTGGTGTGTTTAGGAATTCTATTTCTTCCTAGTTTAGTCTCAGAAGTTTGTGTGATTCCAGGAATTGATTCATTCCTCCAGGTTTTCTAGTTTGTGAGCACATAGTTGTTTAGAACAGCCTCTGATGATCTTTTGTATTTTTGTGGTATCAGTTGTAATATCTCTTTTTGCATTTCTAATTGTGTTTATTTGGATCTTCTCTATTTTTGTTTATTGTGGATGGTGGTATATTAGTTTTGTTCATATTTTCCAAAAAACGACCATTTTGTTGATCTTTTTTAATTTTTTGGTCTCTATTTCACATAGTTCTGCTCGATTTTATTATTTCTTGTATTTTACTAGCTTTGGTTTTGATTTGCTCTTTCTTTTCTAATTTCTTGAGGAAGACTCTAAAGTTCTGAATTTGTGATCTTTCTGCTTTTTTAGTGTCATCAGTTATTGCTATAGGCTTTTGCAGTATTCCACAGATTTTGATATGGTATGTTTTCATTTTCATTTGTCTCAGTTTTTTTTTTTAATTTCTATCTTAAATTCTTTATTGACCCAGTGATCATTCAGGAGTATGTTGTTTAATTTCCATATGTTTGTATAGTTTCTGAAGTTCCTCTTGTTATTCATTTCTAGCTTTATTCCACTGCAACCTGAGAACTTACTTGATATAATTTGATATTTTAAAATTTTTTAAGACTTATTTTGTGGCTTAACACATGGTCTGTCTTGGAGACTGTTCCATCTGCTGACGAAAATAATTTATATCCTGTAGTTGTTGGGTAGAATGTTCTATAAATGTCTGTTAAGTCTACTTGGTCTAAAGTCCAATTTAAGTTCAATGGTTTTTGTTAATTTTCTGACTGAATAATTTTTTGACTGCTGTGAGTGAGGTGTTGAAGTCACCCACTATTATTGTATTATCCTCTATCTCCTTTTTAGGTCTAGTAATCCTTGTTTTGCAAATTTGAAAGCTCTGATGTTGGGTGCACATATGTTTAGGATTGTTATATTCTCTTGCATAATTGATCTCTTTATCATTATATAATAAAATTCTTTGTCTTTTTAAAAAGTCTTTTGATTAAAATGAGTTTTATCTAATATAAACATGACTCTCCATCTGCTCACTTTTGGTTTCTGCTTGTGTGGATAATTGTTTCCAACTCTTTACTTTCAGTCTGTATGTGTTTTATGGCTAAGTTTCTTGTATTCAGCATATAGTTGAATCATATATTTAAATTTATTCTGCCAATCTGTATCTTTTAAATGAAGCATTTAATCCATTTACATTCAAGGTTAATATTGATATGTAAGGCTTTGTTCCTGTCATATTGTTAATTGTTTTCAAGTTGTTTTATTAATTATATCTTTCACTTTCTTTTTGTCTGTGATTTTATAAAATTCTGTCATGTTGCCTTTTGATTCTGCCTTTCCTCTTTTGTGTGATTGTGTTATAAGGACTATGAGCTTTATATTACCATGTGTTCATGGTCATGAATATTAATATTTATATTACCATGTGTTCATGGTCATGAAGATCCTGTGGGGACTGCAGTTTAGTCACACCTAAGTCTCAATAGTAACCCACAGAAGGGTAGTAGGGACACTCCCAGGAGTTCATGGGAGTGCCCAGTCTTACTTGTCCCTCCTTGGAGCAGCTTCAATGCAGTGTCTGTAAATCCCCAATATTTAGGCTCTCAAGGTGGCACACAGCTGAGGCTGCTCTAGGCTTGCATGACTGTCAGATCCTGTGTGGTTTTCTTTTCTGGAGCAATGTGGGCAATCTTTAGACAGCTCTCTATGTCATCCCTGAGGAGCTAGTGAGTCAAGATTTCTCCTGCAGCCAAGATTGTAAAAGCCCCTTTTGGATGTGAAGCCCTAACAATAAGAGTTTCCTAACAGTAAGAATTTCTCTCTTGCTGTTGCCCTGAATCCTGGGACTACTCTCATTTTTCATTCAGTTCTTGGCTGTTCAGGATGCTGCAAATGCTTTCCTTACTTACTTCTGGTTCTTCTCATCTCTTCTCTGGTAAATCCTACTGTACTCTCCTAGACAATCTGTTTGAAATGTAAGTACCTACTTACTATTCTGCCTCCTCTCCGTAAAGGAGACACATACTACTGGCATCTAGTCAGCCATCTTGATCCCTCTCTTGATACAGACCTTTATAATATGTTTACTTAATGATAAGGATTGGCATGTGAATTGGAACTGATTTGGAATCTTTGGTATTGAATACATGACATGAACCCCCAAAAATAAAATGTTTGACAAATGAGAAGTTAAAAAAAAATAGCTAGTAGAGTTTACTTGGATAAACTATACATGTCCTCCGGGGAAATTCTTATTGTTACAGGAATATGGCAAGTGAAAGTAGAACATAGAATACTAAATTATAAATCAAAAGACATATCTATTCTTTTAACTCTGACTCTGCCACTTACCAGCTCTGATTTCTGAGGAAAGTCTCTCTTTTTGTCAGGATGATTGGTTTTAGTATCCGCAATAAAAAAACTCAAATTTTAATGGCTTGACACAATAAAAGCTTTTTATTGCAAACTCTGACATGGTTGGATGATTGATTCCAAGTAATGTCTGGGTTATCCAGGTTCTGTGCATTCAGGATACCTTCATCTTCAACAGATGGTCTGCATGGTCTCACGTAAAGGACAAAACATAATGATTTTAGTGAGCCTGACCTGAAAGTCTGTTATCCCTGCATTGACCAAAACTAGATGAAAAGCTCAATCTAAATTCATACAAGCTGAAAAATCCAGTGTTCTTTTGTGCCCAGAGAAAAAAATGAAACAGTATGTTTAACACATGGCATTATCTCTGCTACAGTCACTTGGGGTCCTTTCTGACTCTGGTTTCCTGTTTGTATACAGGTTTTAATACCACATTCATTTTGTACAGTTGTGCTTAGGAATAAATGGAATGATAAGCTTCTTAAGATACAAAATTCTTATCATTACTTCAATGGATAAGGATGTAAGTTTTTGATGTGAGCTTACTGTAGCCCCTTCATTTTTCTATTATAGACAATGAAAGTGAAGAGAAGAAAACCAGTCTAACAGCAAAAGACTGATTTTCAGAACCCTGGAAAAGAACTATTTGATTACATTTAACTGCTAATAACTGTTTTCTATTAGAATTCCTACTGGTCCTTTTGAAATGAAAATATGAGATTAATTTGCAATTAGTACCTTCCATTCATAAATTATGATTAACGTACTTTTAAAAAATAGTTTGCTATGTAAAACAGATTGAAATAAATCTTTACAATGTTACTGGCTTTATTAATTGTGTAATTAATTGTGTAATCAAACTTGTCTCTGTAGACAGTAAAAGGAAAATACTTCCATCCAGATCATCTTAAATTAAATAATCACAAATTACATAATCACAAATTTGTTAACACACAAGTTAATAAGCTTTTATTGATGTTTCCTGATTTAAGACCCTGTTAATATATATTAATTCCTTATTGGCCACATGTAGTTACATAGAACACCTGGAAATTTATTACACTTTCATGTTACTAAATGAAAGTTTTATTATCTGCCTCATGATTTCTCTAAATTAAATTAATCTAGTTTCTGCTAATATGCATGGGAGGTTCAACATTTTGGTCATTATTGGTAATTACCTCTTATCTTGAAACAACTATAACATCATGTCATGATAATTCTTTTAATGTGCTATAGACTAGCAGAGCTCTTATAAAACAAATCTCAGAATTCTTTTTTTTTTTTTTGAGATGGAGTCTCACTCTGTCGCCCAGGCTCGAGTGCAGTGGCATAATCTTGGCTCACTGCAACCTCCGCCTCCCAAGTTCAAG